TCGGTACGCAATTTATAAAAACCGAAAACCGAAAAAACCGAAAAAAAAATCGAACCGAACCGAAAAACCGAATGCCCACCCCTAATTATAACATATTTATGTATTAGTTATGTGAATTTTTAAATTGTAAACCAAATCAATGTTGATTTTACATATGAATATATTACCTCCTAACCAGCTATCAAACTTGATATTACTTATACAAAACTCAATACCTGCATAATTCATTTTTAAATCAGCTACCAAATAAGCCCTTAGTATTCAACAAGCAAAGTAAAGTTCCTCTAGAAATTGAAGATTGAAACAATATTTATCTTCTAAAATTTCTTTAAATCGTTTATGTCCCTTGTTTTGCTTTGCAAATTTTAGAAATGGAGATTGACTTAGCAGTTGTGGTGCATTTCCCTCTTGAGTTTTGAATGTTCTCATTGATATACTTGCTCATATGGGTGAGCTACTCAAAATATTTCAGAAACATATGAATGATGTGCGGATCTTTAAGAAGTTGAGGATGACTTTGTTTAGTCTTATGTTCGTGCCAATATTCGGTATTATTAATGTCATGATTTACTATGTTAAAAATAATACTATTAAATAAGATATACAATACAACTGATATAACTCTATGATCCTACTTTTTATTGTAAAACATAATTAATATAACTATCTTATTTCAATCAAAAGAATTACGAGAATAAGTTATATTTAATTTTTCTCTCAAAGAAAATCAAAGATGAAATAAATTATTATATGGCATCATTGCTTATTCTTATGCATATGTAACAATTTGTTTATATCTCTATTATTCCTTGCTTGAAATGCATTTAGAAATTATCTTTTTATTTTTTTATTACTTTGTGAATATAATAATGTAGATTATTAATTTTCTTTATGTCTTAGCTACATAATTATAAAAATCTATGCCTACATATTATTTAATTGTGGTCTGAGATTGAAATATGTCACATCCTTTATGCAATCAAGTTATTTATCTTTTTTTCTTATTTTTGTGATTTTTGCCCCTTATATTTTTTATCATTTATTTATTTTTACAAATAACATCAATTCACAACAGTAAATGAACATTAATGTCATAATAAGTGAAAACTCCATTAATGGAGATTTATTCTTAGGTCAATTTACAGAGAAAATGAAACAGAAGAAGGAATTGTATTGATAATTATAAGATCTGATACATTGAATCTGTACCACTATCCCTTTTATACTTGTACATTAGGTCACAGTTACAAAAGTATCTAAAATTGATTTGTAACTAACTAGTGCCAGCTCAACATTCAGTTTAGTTGACTACACTCATGATTTAGCTAACTCAACCATTCATCTTGTTAACTCTTTGCACTAGTTAACACTCCCCCTCAAGCAGATGGTTGAAAGACATTTTTAATTCCAAGCTTGTTTATTAGTAATCCATGTTGTGATTGTCCTAGGCTTTTAGTTAGCAGATCAGCAGTTCGCATTTTGATGTTGATGTGTTGAGTTGCAATATTCCTTGACAAATCTTTTCTCTAACAAAGTGGAAATCGATGTCTATGTATTTTGTTCTTTCATGGAATATAGGATTGGATGCTATTTGAATAGCTTCCTTGATATCACATACCATTTTGATAGGAAGTGTTAAGCTGACTCCCAGCTCTTTGTATAGACCTATTAACCAGGTTACTTCAACTGCACAAGCAGTCATGCTTCTGAACTCTGCTTCAGCTGAGCTTCTTGAGACTGTTCCTTGCTTCTTAGACTTCCAAGAGATTAAACCACCTCCAAACTTTACTAGATAGCCTATAACAGACTTTCTAGTTTCTAGACATGCACCCCAATCCGAGTCACAATAAGTTGTTAGTTGTGTGGTATGTTCTGTTCGCATCAATATTCCTAGACCAGGAGCTTCTTTGATATACCTTATTGCTCTCAATGCTGCTTCCAAATGTGATTGCTTAGGACTATGCATGAATTGACTAAGTAGTTGAGCAGTAAATACAAGATCTGGACTTGTCATGGTTAAATAGAGAAGCTTTCCCACTAACCTTTGAGACTGTGAGGGGTCAGTAAGTAGTTCATCATTTTCAGTCCTTGAACCTGGTACCAGTTCATCATATTGCGCAGACGTGAGTTTCTTGTTTAGTTCCAAAGGAGTGTTAACTGGTTTAGCTCCCCCTAAGCCAGTTTCAGACACAAGTTCTAAAGCATACTTCCTTTGTGTCATAAATATGCCCTTACTGGATCTAGAAAACTCAATTCCTAGGAAGAATTTTAGTTCTCCCAAATCCTTCATCTTGAACCTTTTTTAATATCTTGTCTGGTACTACACAACAATTCGTGACTGCTTCTAGTGATTAGAAGATCATCAACATACACTAATATCACTACCACATCATTACCAGTTTGCTTTGTAAAGAGAGAATAATCATAGTGAATTTGTTTGAACCCCATCTGAACTAAAGCCTCAGTTAGCTTCATATTCCATTGTCTAGGATCTTGCTTTAAACCATATAAAGACTTGTGTTGTTTGCAGACCTTTTGACACTCCACATGTCTAAAAAACCCACTAGGAATCACCATGTATACTTCCTCTTGTAATCACCATTAAGAAAGGCATTGTGAACATCCATTTGATAGATATACCAACCCCTAGATGCAACTAGAGCCACCACTGTTACCATCTTTGCTACTGGACTAAATGTTTCCCCATAATCCAGCCCTTCTTTTTGATTGAAACTTCTAGTGACAAGCCTGGCCTTACACCTTTCAACCTCTCCTGAGGCTAGAAATTTTATCTTGTAAATCGACTTGCAGCCAATAGGCTTCTTGCCAGGTGGTAAGTCAACTATGCTCCATGTTTTGTTACTCTCAAGTGCTGCAATTTTCAACTCCATAGCTTTGACCTATGCAGGATCAGAAGCAGCCTCTTGAAATGACACTGGTTCAGTAAGAGCTGAGGAGGCTTTCAAGAATTGTCTATATGCAGGAGACAAATGATCATAGGAAATCTGGTTAGCCAGTGAATATACACAAGCACTACTCTTAGACTTTATGACAAAATTCTGCAACCACAAAAGTGGTTTACTTGATCTAGATGATCTTCTAGAAGATACACTGGTAGTAAATGGAATAGAAACAGGAACCACAGTGTCAAACATTACTGGTATAACAGTAGGGGAAAATGAAGTTGAGCTCAAAGAAGGTACATCAGTAGTTTCAGTGTGAGGGGTTATATACTCAGAACCACTTGGAACATATTCAACCACTGGAAACATGGGATTTGTAGAGGTTTGTAGATGATTAAAAGGGAATATATCTTCCTAAAATATCACATTTCTATTAATAAAGAAGGAATGGGCATGAGTATCATATAGAATGTAACCCTTTTGTGTTGAGGAGTAGCCCATGAATATTGTAGGGATGGCTCTTGATGAAAACTTATCAGATATTGTAGGACAACCAACATAGCACAAACATCCAAACACCTTCATATGAGATAAAGCACGAGAATGTAGATACAATTTTTCAAAAGAGGACTTATAGTTCAGCAACTTTGAGGGAAGTCTATTCAATATATATACAGTTGCGGTGACACATTCACCCCAAAACCACAGAGGTATAGATGCCTGAAACCTTAGAGATCTGGCCATATCAAGAACAATTCTTGTGTTTTCTTTCAGCAATACGATTTTGATGTGGTGTATACACACATGTACTTTGATGTATAATGCCCATTTTACACAAGTGTTTGAAAATCTTTACTGAAAAACTCACAGACATTGTCAGACCTTAGAGTTTTAACAGTAGTAGAGAACACATTTGTACTTGAAGAAGAAAATTTATTAATACTACAATGGTTTCAGCTTTAGAAGTAACTAGGAAAATCCAAGTATATCTACTATAGTCATCCACAATAGTAACAAAAAACCTCTTTCCATTATGAGTGGGCATTTTGTAAGGACCCCAAATATCACAATGTAAGAGTTTAAATACAGCTTTGGACTTATGAATACTTAAAGCAAAAGGAAGTTTAGCATGCTTGGATATAGGACATTATCACTCAAGAATAAAAAAGAATCATGTTTCTTTATTACATCAAAAGGAGCATGTCCTAATCTCTTGTGCCAGATGTTACTAGATTCAGTCTTTACAGAATTAGAATGTGCTCTACTATCATTAACCATCTTCTTTGGAGTGCTAGGTGGTCCTTCATTTAGTATGTAAAGACCATGCTCTTCCTTATCAATCCCCTTCACCTGAACAGTGGAGAGGTCCTGGAAAACATAAAATTCAAGAAAGAATCCTACCGTACATTGTAATTCCTTAGTGATCTTAGTGACTGAGAGTAAGTCAAACTTAAACTTAGGTAGGAATAGAACATTTGATACAGACTGATCTTTGAACATTCTAGTGTTACCAATATGAGATAATGACACTGTTTTACCATTTGGTAAATGAACTTTGTTTTTAACATGATCAGAGGCCTCTTTAACTATGTCAAGTACATCAATATTAGAAGTGATATGATGAGAAACTCCATTATCTATTACCCTTTTTCTACTTCCATAGTTACAGGATAGAGCTGTAGGAAAACTACCTGTATCAGCGGCAGCAGTTGCTATATTGACAGATGATTCACTACCAGATTCACCACCAGGTTTTGAGAGTAATTGAAGGATCTGATAATATTGATCTTTTGTGAAAAATGCTCCATTAGGTGAACTTGTAACAGATCCTGCATAGCTGTTGTAGTTTGGTCTGATTTCTTGTCCAGGCTCATTTGTTGCTGCTACCTGATTTGCATGCACTCCTTTTAGATTTAAAGTCTGTAGGATAACCAATAATTCTATAACATTGATCCCTGGAATGACCTCTGCACCCATAGTGGTCACATATGAGGAGATGTTTCTTAGCCTTGTATCCTCCAACTCTTGAGTTGTTTGCCTAACTTCCACCTGAAGTACTAGCACCACTATATCCTCCACTAGAAACACTAGATCCACCTAGAAAGGAACTTTAGAAGTTCCTGCACCACTTGTGTAAGTGTTACTTTTATGAGAATACAATGATGTGCCTTCAATGAGCCCTGAGCTATTGGAAACAAAACTCGTCAGATTCCTCTGACTCTCTCGATCAATGATCAATGCATAAGCTTTGTTAAGCATTGGAATAGGACTCATCATGAGTATTTGGCTTCTAGGAGAGGAGTATGACTCATTTAGTCCCATTAAGAACCGCAACAACCTTTGATAATCACAATGCTCCCTAAATTTCTTTGATTCAGGACAAGGACAACTAGGACATGGCATAAGAGAATCATATTCACCCCATAGACCTCTTAACCTAGAGTAATATTCAGCAATTAAGATAGTTCCCTGAACTAATGTATCAAAGCTTTCTCTTAGATCCAGCCAAACTTTGCGTGCATCAGACGCATACACAACAGAACTTAGAAGTCCTGGCCTTACTGCATTCATAATCCAACTTAACACTACTGCATTACACTTTTCCCACTGATCATGCAATAATGGTTCAAACATAGATTTAGGAAACCTTCCATCTACAAAGCCTAACTTGCTTTTCCCAACTAAGCTAATCCTAAAATATCTACTCCAAAGAGCATAATTCTCTGAACCTGTTAATTGAAGAGAGATTAGGGAACTACCTGGAGTGTCTGTGTGTTGAAGAAATAGTGGATGATTGTGATCAATCACTGGAAATGTGACTGGACTCATAACTCCATTTCTATTTTCAATGCTAGTACCTTCAGTTGTACTTCCATTCGTCATTTGAGCTAGCTTAACCTTTTGATGCTTCCTTTCAATGCACCTTTAACAGATGGTGAATCTGAGTACCTGATAGTTGCTGCTATGAACTCGAAATTCTAAAATCGAGTGCTCTAATACCATGAAAACTCCATTAATGGAGATTTATTCTTAGGTCAATTTACAGAGAGAATGAAAAAGAAGAAGGAATTGTATTGATTATTATAAAATTTGATACATTGAATCTACTATCCCTTTTATACTTGTACATTAAGTCACAAATACAAAAATATTTAAAATTGATTTGTAACTAACTACTGCAAGCTCAACATTCTGTTCAGTTGACTATACTTATGATTTACCTAACTCAATCATTCAGCTTGTTAACTCTATGCACTAGTTAACAATAATATTATATATATTAAAGTTATGACAATTTATGTATCTTACCTTCTTTATAACTTCTAGTCTTGAATATTATTGACAACTCCTATTTGTTTCATTGTTATAATTTTTTAAAAACATTTCTTTTTTATCTGTAAATAGTAAACAAACGTTATGATAAAGACGTAACACAGAATTAAAGAAAAATTAAATTAAAATTGGTGTTATTATAAATGACTGAGTACTCAAAAGATAGATAAGATTTAAACAAAAGTTATTATTTTCAACTTAATACATAGATTGTTGTTTCAAAATATGACCTCTAAATTGTTTGTTCTACCATACGCATATAGAGTCTATTTAGTATATTGTATCATGTTTCATATAAAGGCAAAAATTTACATTGTTTTTTATGTCACTGACTTAAATATAAATATTCCACACTACTTTATTATAATTAAAAATTAGCAATTCATAGAATTTATTTTATAAATGATAAAATAATTTAATTTATTAATTTTCATTATAACCGTACAAAGCACGAATAGTTTCAGTAGTGTGTGTATATATATATTTAATTATGCTCCATAGCTATAATTAAGCTATTTTTGAATGATTATATGCAAAAATTTCCCTACTTTAAATGAACTAGACATAATAAATGATAATATATATGTTTTTAAACTTGATAATGGCATAACCTATAGAACAAATGTATAATGAGGTTTGCTAGGTCACTATATATATAACTACTTCACAAAAATTGATAGAGATGAAGGACCTTTGTTTAATTCCACCAATTTATAGATAAAAATGAATTATGGAATTCTAGATACATAATTTGAAGTACAAAGAAAAGAAAAGAAAAAGGCTGTAAAATAACCACTCCGCTAAGTGTGTAATGCATTCATGAATGGAAAAGGAAAAGTAATCACACTTTTTCATCTTTATAGGCTCCTCTTCAGCTTTTTGTTGCTAACTGTCATAATTATGGACATTGATAAATTACAAGAAGTCTTCATTTAAATCATTGCCAAAGAAAAAAGAAAAGTCTGTTACCTCTGCATATATACAACAAAAAAAAGAAGAAAAAGTTATTATAATTATCATTTATTGATTGTAATACTAGACCAAGAAGTCGTGTATAATGACATAATTTAGATGATACTCTATTATTATTTGTCAATAATATAGACAGTCCACACGGTTCATCTTCTTCGGATCAATCACCACACCATTCTTTGCTTCTTTCTTAATCAAATGGCTCAGTTTGAACCCTATATATGAAAAAATTATTTGATAGAAAGCACTATCCTAAATCATAGCTGGATTTAGGATTTTAAACTTGTAGATTTAAAATAAAATAAGTTTAGATGACGTAATTATTAATTATAATCTACAAAAAAGGGTATTGAAACTTTGTATATATTTTTTCTTAAAAAAAGTAACGAACCATCTAAACAAAAAATATTAAAATAAAATATTAGGCATTTCTATTGTACTCCACTATTTGTTGTGTCTTGAAAAGGATTAATAATCGCATCATTAGGTACACTTTCAAATAGCATTATTTTTTATAACAAATTAAAAAAATCATTTAAAAATTCATTATTAATTAGTCAATCAAGTAAAAATCACCTTCCGAACACAATATAACAGTCAAAATTAGAGCTTGTTAACCTAGAATGTTTCTTTGATCAAATATTCCAACTTTTGAACCTTTAAAACTGAAAACCTCACCCAATAATCATTTGATTTCGTTGCAATGGGTTGTGCATATTGGTCTTTCCCTAGATTAACCATAAAATGTAAAATCTAGATATGATTGATAAATAAGTATGCATATGTGTTATAGTGTGTGAATTTCTTTTAAATTTTGTAAATTATATTCATGCTTGTTTAGCGTAATTTAGCTCTTTTTTTTTCAACCTATTTGATATGTGTGTCATTTACTGGATCGTGTGTTAACACTCAATGACTAGTTTTAAATCGTAAACTTAAGAATAATTGAAATAAACCAATTTTTATAATGAAATATGCGCTTCATAAAACAAGACAATGCCATGCACATGACTTGCAAGTATTAAACAAGTTTATCTATTTATTATCCCCAAAACATCATTATTCTAAACTAGTTTGTTTCACCATTGATTTCTCCTATACATATGCAAATAGATTTTAATATTTTCAATGGTAAAATATACATCCCAATAAAACTAATTTACTTCATTGATATGATCAATAGATGATTTGCTGCTAATCTGTTAGGAATCACTTTATTATCCCTCCAAAGACCCATATACGCACACAATATCTTAATTGATCATTTCGATTGATAGTTTATCATAATACTATCATGGGATAATTAATATATACATAAAGTAATTATTATTTTTCCACAAATATAACTACTATGTTTTTATTTACATAAAAAACAGTGAAAAGTGTTTAGAAAGTATAAACTTATTATATACGTTATGATACACTCAAAAAATTGATTATAGTTTAGCTATACATGAGATATACACTAACTGTACATTATGATACACTCAAAATTTTATATATAACTTAACTATATATGAAGTATAGACCGACTATTTATTGAACTATTATTTTCCAAATATTTATTAGACTAACTAAAGAAGAAGGAAAAGGATGAGAAACAGTTAGAAGGGATATATTATGATATTTTCTTAGTAAAATTTACATCCCAAGAAAACTAATTTACTTTATTGATATGTTCATCAACAGTATCAACATATGCTTTGCTGTTAATTAATAACCATCATTTCGATTGATATTCATGCCCTTTCTTCATTCCTATATGGACTCATATTCCTATGTTCTTCCAATGTTTTTAAGGAAACTATCTCATTAGACATACTTCATTAAAATATATATGATTATTATCTACATATTTAAAATATTACATATTTTATCACTAATTAAGATTTTTTTTAATCATATTACAATGAAGCTACACCTAGATACATATATTTTTATTATTAGATACACTACAATATGGAGAGTTGCAAATGATATAGGCAGGGGCGGAGCCACCTTATACTAAGGGGGTTCAGAACCCCCTTCGACGAAAAATTATATCATTCATATATGGTTAAGATATCATTTTATGTATATATGGTAGATGTGGAACCCCTTCGGCTACTTCACTTGTTTATTTCTACAAATTTTGAACCCCTTATTGAATATTCTAGATCCTCTACTAGATATAGGGAAGAGCCGAGCAAGATAGCCAAGATACATGTGAATTACACTAGATACATGCATATGTATGCATCAAGTTTGATTCACGTGTATCTGGAATATCAAATATATAAGAGAGTAGCGAACAAGATAGGAGGGAGACGAGTGAATTGTTATGCATCTCAGATTCATGCAAATCCACTTGGATATAGTGTATCAAGAATAAATTATACATAATTTTTACCTCATGTGCCGAGATACATCTAAACATATTTGGTTGCACAAAAATTTGATAGGATTCGTAATATTACAAACTAAAGAGTATCTAAGTAATTAGTTCATAAACTAATTCGATTTACGCAAGTTTTCAATATTTTTATGAGTATATATTAGTTTTAGCAAACATACAAACCATATTTATGTGCTATAGCTATAATTTGCATAGTTGCGCTCCATAGAAAAACTTTCTGTTTGTTATGGAGCTATTGATCTGTATATTTAGGCATTCATTTAATTGTATAAGTATATATTAGGAATTTGTAGACAAATAAGAAACTGAATTGGTTGTAAGTGTATAAGTATTTGTTTTTTTGTTGTGATTTGTAATCGTATATGTATAAGTGTTATATGTATACAAATGCAAATAATGCATTGTATTTTGTATAATTTGTGTTTGTATAAAGCGATAAAGAGAGAAAGACAAAATAGAACTGGGTATAAAAAAATTATATTGTATAATTATAATGTACAAGATGATAATATATGTATTTGTATATATAGTTTTCTCTTGCTTTATGTGAACACAAACACAATTTATACTTTTGTGTGTGTATAAAGTGAGAAAGACAAGGAGAGTGGCGAGCGAGATTTCTGAAGAGAGAGACAAATAATAAAATGTTTGCTAAGAATTAAAATTAAATGAAACAACGATTATAACATTTATTTTGAATTAATAATTTGTTATTTCATACAATTTATCCTATTTCTACAATCTTAGTGGAGGCCCTTTTAAATTGAAAACCAGCGCATGCCCATTATCAATAAGTGATATATCCTTACTTGGGAAAATTATATGGAATGACAAACATTCCTAAGTGATTATATAATAGGGGTATAGTTTAATTTATTTACTTTCTATAATTATAGTTTATTTTTTTTGCTATAATTAATGGGATCCACCACCTATTATATAACCAATATTATAAAAACTTTTTTTTAATTTTGTATATAATTTTACACAAAACAATATTATCTCTCCTATTCATATTCCACCTTTTCCCCCTACAATTAATACTTCTCTCCGATTTAAATTTCAAATTGTCCAAAATTCAATTACTCCCTCCCGAAGTTGAATTCAATTTTCGGTGGTACTCCTAAATTTTAGTCGTTTTTCGTTTTTTTTTATTCAACAATTGTATATGTATTGTGTTTCT